AGCCTTAAATATGCAAAAGGACTCTGCCCCCACAGAATTGTGTCAAGGAGTTCCAAAGGCTCTCACCCTCAAGAAATTCCTCCTCATCCTCACTGACCTTGGCCTCTTTATACACATTTTCTTTCAACTTAATACTTGTCTTAATTTCTTTGGTAAGCAATGGGTTGGTTTATCCATCATTTAGAATCATTCCTCCTTATTGGAATATATTTTCACTGAGTACCGTAAGTTACCTCCTTATATGCCTGTCATTGCTTGCTTACTGTCTTTCTTGCTCATCTATCTGCCCAGTTCACTTTAGTTAATTTTATCTTCATTTCATTGCAATTCCCCTTAAGTAAAGCAGTTGTTTCTGACCCAAGTTCTCACTTCTCAAACTAAATATTAAATTCTATCATGTTATGATCACTATGATCCTAGGGGATCTTTTACTCGGAAGTCATTTATTAAACCTGCCTCATTAACCATGACCAGATCCGAGACAGTTTCCTAGAACATTATGCCGGGGAGCATGCTACCTCTAATGCACTTTATGAATTTGTTGTCATAGCTACCCTTTACAATTCAATTTGCTCAATCAAAATTAAAGTCACCCATAATTATTTGCTATATTCTTTTTACATGCCCTTACTCTTTGTTGATTGATAGCCTTTCTCACAGAGTGGCTACTATTTGGGACTGTGTAAAGTACTCCTAATGCCTTCTTTCCCTGCTTTTTCTTTTTAAAGCCTCCAGCCAAATGGACTGTACATCAACTGAGCCTGGACAATCTCTTACTACCGTCTTCAGTCCATCTCTCATTAAGAGTGCTACCCACCACCTTTTCTATCCCGCCTGTCTCAAGTATCCCTGAACATTAAGTTCCCAGTTTTGATCTCCTTGCAACCATTTTTCTGTAATGACTATGAGATCATAGCACAAATTAAGATAAATGACCATTCGCTCATCTACCTTATTCCGAATGCTTCATGCAGTCAGACACAGAGCCTTTATGTTTGTTCTGTTATGGAATTTCCCTACATTTTTATGGTACAATATGACACTTGCACATCATGTCCTTTTATTTCCTGGTGACAATCAACTCTGTCACTGACCTGCAGTCCTACCTTCTCCTTTACCTTTGATTTTCTAATTTTCCATGCAACTGAACACCCCCCCTACCTTCCTACAACAACTGCATCTTACCTCTCCCATTCTAAGGTCCTCAGCAACCCAGATGAGATATCCTGAGCCTGGGCATCAGGCAGGAAACACAGCCTTCAGATCCTGACCACAGAGAACAGTCTCTATTGCCCTGACTACTACAACATTTCTCTTTTCTTCCCCCCACCCCTTGAATGGCTCCCTGTACCACAGTGCTCTGGTCAGTTTACTCATCCTCCCTCCAGCCCTGACACTCATCCACACAGGGAGCAAGGATCACAAACCTACTGGATGAGTTTCAGGGCTGAGCACCACCTTTGCACCACCTCCTGGATCCCTCAACCTGCCTCACTTGTATTCACCCCTTCCTGTCCCTTATCACTGACCCAATTCAAGGTAGATAATCAAATGGGTGTGACCACCTCCTGAAACACAGATTCTAGATAACATTCCCCTCCCTGGTATGTCTCAGTGTTCGAAGCTCAGACTACAGCTCATCAACTTTGAACAGTGGGGAGGTGATGGCCTAGTGGTATTATCGCTGGACTGTTAATCCAGAGACCCAGATAATGTTCTGGGGACCCGGGTTCAAATCCTGCCACAGAAGTTGATGGAATTTAAATTCAATAAAATATCTGGAATTAAGAATCTAATGATGATCGTGAATCCATTGCCAATTGTTGGGGGGAAAAACCCATCTGGTTCACTAATGCCCTTTAGGGAAAGAAACTGCCATCCTTATCTGGTCTGGCCTACATGTGACTCCAGACCCACAGCAATATGGTTGACTCTTAACTGCCCTCTTGGCAATTAGGGGTGGGCATTAGATGATGCCTTCATCCCCTGACTGAATAAAGAAAAGAATCAGAATTCCTCAAGCAACCAACATTCACTACAGAAATGATAACTATGATTCACAATTGGATCCACCAGCTCCTATATCATATGTCCTACAACATACACCTGGTCTTACATCTCATTTTTTACTTGGCTCTTATTTGTTATTTTCAAAAATTTCTCATGAATTTTAGTCTTCAATATGCAAATATGTCTCCTATTTACCTTCAATAGGAAAATAAACTATAACAGATAGTCAAATTAGCAGCTATTACCAACCAATGAACTTACAGTTTTCCCATGACATCATTCTGCTTTGTGCTGGACCCACAATCGTGGATTTCAATTTATCTCATAAAAGGGCCTGACTAACATGAAATCACCTCCTCCCCTCCATGCAAAATTCCCACACTGCTCAAAAATCCCCAGAATATATGCTCACTCACTCACTCACTCACACTGTACCTCACTCAGGATGTGATCTTCCTGACCGTGCAAGATTATGTACTTTCAACAGGCCCTCTCTTCAACACTTACGTTCTGCATCAATAGCAATTAACACCCATTGAGGCCCTGTTCAGGCTTCAGGTGATTGACTGATAACTGTTCCTCAGTCAGGTGACTCAGCTACTTTATTAACCCGTTAACTAGACTCCTGAATTTTAAACATTTAAAATGGAGAAGAAAAAAAAATTACCAATTCCGTTCCCACTCAGCTCCAAAATTTCTTAAACATATTTTCACTCGGACTGTGCCTCACTCTAGGTGTGATCTCTCCTTCTCGACCATGTAGAGCTTACTCTTCTGTCTCCCTCATACTATGTGGGTAACTTTAGTAATGTAATTGTCTCCTTTCTCTGGTTCAACGCTGCCTACATGGATTTATTTGACAGTCTTTCTAATATATCATTGCTCCTCAAAGCTGTGGTTGTTTCTTACACCAATATTGTTACACCCCTTTTATTATTCTCCTCTCTCTTTCACCTGAAATCTCTGTCCTGATAGTTTAGTCAGTTTATAAATGCAATACGGCCTTAGATTAAGCCACACGTTTATATATAGAACAACTAGGGGTCTCTAACAGTGCAATGGTAGTGTCCCACCTTCCCTAAACATTGCTAATAATTTCTAGCAGTCCTATCAATTCTGCTTAATATATTGAAAAATTAGATGGAATTAGTCTCAAGCTTCTAAATTCCAGACAACACAACCCAGGTTTGTGCAATCTCTGTTTATAATTGAACATTTTTAGTCCAGGTATCTTTTTGCAGAAACAAAAACAGAAATTGTTGGAAAAGTCCAGCAGGTCTGGTAGAATCTGCGGAGAGAAATCAGAGTTAACATTTTGGGTTGAGTGACCCTTCCTCAGAACTGGGTCAAATTCACTCAACCCAAGACATAAATATTTTCTGAAGAAGGGTCTAGGCCCAAAACATCAGCCTTCCTGCTCCTCTGATGCTACTTGGCCTGCTGTGTTCATCCAGCTCTACACCTTGTTATCCAAGACATTAACTCTGGTTTCTCTCCACTGATCTAACAGACCTGCTAAGCTTTTCCAGTAATTCATGTTTCTGTTTCTGATTGCCAGCATCTGCAGTTCTTTCGGTTTTTATCACTGTATTGAACCCATGCTCACTCCCTCCAATGCTGATACATCTGCCTTAAACTGGGGTGCCCAGAGCTGAACACAGTTTTCCAAATATTTTCTAAACAGGGCTTTGTACTGTGTAAAGACCATATCTTCTTATTTCTTTTATTGTTAGACTATGGATTAAAAAACAAGATATTGCTTTAAGCCAAGGTGGCTGTGGTTTTAAAAATCATATTTAATGAAGCATATTGTGAGTCATATACAATGTTACCTCCCCCTGGAACAGTGAGAGCAAAAGTAAACATCACCGAGCCTATCAGTTTTGAATTAAGGGAGAATTGCTCAGTGGTATGATCTGATTGGCTCCTGATGAGGTGACCATGGTTTGTGTGGAACCAGTGGAGCCTACACACAGAAGGCATTGAAGAAACCTCTCATTCTGTTCTCTGTGGAGGTACTAGAAAGTCTCCAGTAATAGTTAGCTGTCTTTCATTCACCTTTCTCTGCAAATGCCCTGTTGAAGGAGAAATAAAATACCTTCAAAGACAGTGAAAGGATGAATTCTCAACTAATGAATGAAAGAGAGCATTATTGTGTCATTATCCTTCTGTTAACAGCAAAGAACTAAAAGGAATCAGAGGAAACTGAAAAAAAACAATTCTTCAACTCCTGTGGCCCAGGCTGGTGCTATTGAACTGCGTTACTCTGACTATTTTCCTTTTCCACTTTTTATATCCATGTGTTGTCTGTCTGGTTGTAGAGGGAGGGATTTATGAAGGGATAGAGTTTTAAGTTGTAGAGTTGTAAGTTAACAATTCTTATTTTCTAATTGCCATCAGTTAAAGACAATTTGTTCATAATAAACAGTTATTTTCTAATGAAGTACAAAAACCTCATTTATTCTTTGAACCTGAGTTTGTCAGTCAAGCACATTGGGGACTTTGGATATTTTGGCTAAAATTTTTGTATTTCTGACAACTCTGGGAATAGTTTGGCTTGAATTCTACTGTACTACCTCAGTCAGTGGTGACTACAACTGTAGCAAAACTTTCATCTCCTTTTATTCTGATCCTATAGATATAAAGAACAATATACCAATAGCCTTTTTGTTTTGTATCTTTCCATACCACTTTAATTATATTACACGCATGAATTCCTCAGTATCTTCGGACCTTCGCTGTTTGTAGCTTCTCAACATTTTAAAAGTGCTGTGATCTATCCTTTTTAGGGTCAAGGTTGACTTGCCTGTATTGGAATGCATCTGACACAGTGTCGCCACAATACCTCTTTGCAATGAGATAGTAGGAACTGCCGATGCTGGAGAATCTGAGATAACAAGGTGTAGAGCTGGATGAACACAGCAGGCCAAGCAGCTGAAGAAGGGTCTCGATCTGAAACGTCAGCTTTCCTGCTCCTCTGATGCTGCTTGGCCTGCTGTGTTCATCCAGCTCTACACCTTGTTACCTCTTTGCAATGTTCTGCCTCCATATGTACCATTTAACAATGTCTCCGACCAATGTTTCATCAGTAAACTTGAATATGTGCCTCTCTATCCCAGCATGGACTTCATTAATTATCACAGATGCCAATGGGATTTTTTTCCCATTACATCCTGTTACTTTCAGTATGTGAGAATAATGGCTAGCTGAGTGAGTTACTGGCTGGAATCCAAATGAAGAGTTCAGATAGTTTACATGTATGCTGTTTGTTATTTAGGTATGAATTACAGTTTGAGAGGTTCTGGTGAATTAGTCTCCCTAGCCTCTAGACGCTTAGAATTTAAAAAGCAAAGTTTATTCTTCAGTTTAAAACATCAGCTGATGAGGGTCTGACTATTGCTGAGTTATTCTGCGCATCTCACACCAGCCTTTCTTTTCAGAATGATGTTTATTAACGTTTTATCAACTCTACACAATAAAGCAGATTAAACCAGGATGTGAGCATCGAGTCAATCAGATCACAGCACTGCTGGTGCTCTAACAACCATGCCATCAGGGCAGGCAGGGGAAGATTTATAAAAAAAATCAACTTGTCACTGTGTCAGCCATTTCAAAGCTCTTGTCAATCTGCTGACAGGCCTAACAATGGCTTCCCTTTCCTCAGTTTGGTTCAGTTCCAGACCCCATGTCCCATCACCAATCCTAACCCTTCACCCACTAACAACCAACTCCCTACTTCCACCTCCCAAGATGGTCACCTCCAATTTTTAACTGGGACCCCCCCTCAGTTTTTTTTGTCAGTTAAACCAAACCCATCTGAAAGCCAAAGCCCCAGGGCCTAAGCACAGACACTGAGCAATACAATGCAAAGCCCAACAAATTTATTTATGACTTATAATGAATTATTTCTAAGATCTTAACATTTCCCCCTTTGCCAGATCTGACAGTGACCATCTAGTCCACTTACTGTGGGGATGGTTGCAGAGTTGGGCCACACAGGCAGTAGAATATGGACTGGAATCTATCTCCTAACACGATTCCCTTTCACTGGGGAGGAAGCCAGATACAGATTCATTGCTGGCATGCAGGCTTCTGATTCTTTACCCTTTTATATTGTTCTCTTACATTCTTCTACAAGAAGTAAAGACAAAAACAACAAATTTGGTAAGGTGAGGCAAATTTTGATGCACGGAATTGTTTTAAAAATATAGGAATGGATACGTTTTGGGAAATGCAGGGAGAGTGGAAGAACGTCCTACTTTTTAAACAGTCCGCACGTTTGTGAGATATGCATTGAATGCCCGATTTCGCGAAAATGCAGCTTCTTATATTAAAGATACATCCAGGTTGCAAGCAAATTGCAAGCGAATTTTGAATCGCATTCTGACATTGTCAAGAGCTTTGAAAGACAATGCTGTTATAGTTCCGACAGTAAACATTCAGGGAAAATATTGTCATTAAAAAATACATGAAAAGAAAGATTTCTCCAGAACATTCCCAGAGGTCCGTGGCACACACAAAAAAATTCTGGTTAATGTCTTTATTGACCCCGAGTGCCCTTTGCTATCAGCCCTCCCCACCGCAGCAGTAAATTCATGGGCGATGCGATATTGCAGGGGACGGATCGGCAAGAGGAGTCTTAATGTGGGAGGGAAGGAGGAGAGGAGGGAATCGAGCAGGTCCATGGATCCATTCCACTGGCTGCCTCTACGTGCCCAGGAAGATCCCTGTGAAATCCGAGCCACTTTGGATGGTGACAGCAAAACCGGATCTGTTGTCAGCAAAGACAGAGATATACTGCATGGCCTGTGGAGAGAACAGAATTGTCAAGACCAGTGAACCCAACTCAGTCAACTTCTGCTTCCTACTGAAGCTGCATGTGAAACACATCTTCCCTTTTATTACACTTCCAGTCAGGCTGACACTGTTAACCTGCAGGAGGTATAGCTCAACACTAATGAAACCATCATATAGCAAGCATGCACAGAATGGGTTCAGCTCCCATTCTGAATACTGAACATTGTGTGCCATTTTTGGTTTTCTAACTGCAAAATACATTCGTGAGTTGGAAAAGAAATAGAGATGAAATTTAAAACGGAGAAGTCTGAAGTGATACATTTTTGAATGACAATTAAGGATAGGCAATAAAAATCCAATGGCCCAATTCCAAAGGGAGTTAGGTCAGAAATCACATGACATCAGGTTATAGTCCAACAGGTTTATTTGAAAACCCAAGCTTTCGGAGTCTTACTCCTTCTTCAGGTGTTAGTGAGAGAGGTAGTATCCGACACAGAATCTATAAGCTAAAGATCAAAGGGCCACACCACTGATGAAGATATACTTAACAAATCTAAGATACTGTTATATCTTTAATCAGTTACAATTTTTAATTGATTAATATGTAAATCCCTGAATTCCTTTGAAGTAACTGTCCTGAGAGAACTAAAGGTTTTATCAGTGCAAAAAAGAGGTGACATTTTAGGTCAGACAATGCATGTTAGGTGTGAGGCCTTGTTTAGAATCTGTTTGTGTTTTGGTTTGGAGTCAGACTGGTTTTATCTCTAAAGTGGGAATTTATAAATTGCTACATTTGTCTATAAATTGTGTGCTTTTTGAACAAAATAGAATGCATCTGCAAATGCAAATTCACCCCATAGATTCGTGCGTGTGTATGCGGGGAGAGAGAGAGAGAGAGTGAGTGTGTGCTTGCACGCGCGTGCTTGAGAGACAGTGTGTGTATGAGAGAGGGTCTGTGTGTGTGTGTGTGGGAGAGAGAGAGGATCTGTGTGTGTATGGAGAGGATCTGTGTGTGTGTGTGTGTGTTTTTGTGTAAGTGAGTGTCTGTGTATGTATGCATATGTGTGAGTGTGTGTGTGTGTGAGAGTGTATAGTGTGGTAGGGTCACCTGCAGTGCGACATGAACCCAAGATACAGGTTTAGGCCGTCCTCATGGTTACTGAACTTGACTATCAGCCTCTGCTCAGTGACTCTGCATCATTGTGTATCCCAAAGTCCACCTTGGAGGATGTTTACCCAAAGATCTGGACAGCTTGACACGATAAGAGACTAGTGAAACTGGGACTGTTTCCCTCACAGCAGTGGAAGTTAAAAGGAGATTTAATAGAAGAATTGGAAGTTGTGAATGATTTTGACAAGGTGAGCAAAAAGAAGGTGTTCTCATGGAATGAGGGTCCATATTGATAGGATACAAATTTAAAATAATTGTTAAAACAAAAAGAGGGGATCTAAAGCAAAAAAAAAAGATGCACTGCATGATAGGGCAGTGGAAGCAGTTTCAGTAGGAGACTTCAAAATGTGATTGGATTTACACTTGAAAAGGAAAACATTGCAGCACTCTGAGAAAAAAGCAAGGGGATTAGTTTGTAAGATTGTACGGAGAGTAAGTATCCCTGTGAGTAATGAATCAGAGATCAATGAAACCATTCTGCCAGACAATAGACGATCTATAATGGGCACCTTAGGGACACAGGAACAGGAGTAGGCTATTCAGCCCCTTAAACCTGTCCTACCATTCAATGAGATCATGGCTGATCTGTAGCCTAACTCCACATGCCTACCTTGGGCTGGATCTTAGACTTTCTTTCTCCAGTTTTGCTTGTTGCATCAAGTATATTTTAGAGGGATTTTGCCGTGAGGCCCAGCAATATTTCTAACTGTATCTTACCAAACTTGCCTTATTAACTACCTATCCTGCCGCTGTAGTGTCTCTCACAACTGATTCATTCCCCATCTTGCCAATATGCTGTTCTTAGAACAACTCACCACTCACCAGATGGCTGCCAAAAGATTGGCATCCCTTGCCCTGTGCCACTTTAAAAGGCCAATGTGTACGTGGACAAGTATTGGCAATCCGGTGTTGGCCCTCACTGTCAATGTAATGATGTAGTGGCCACAAAGCCAGATTGCTCACAGCACATTTGGCATTCCCTCACACATACAACCCCATCTCTTATCCTAGCTACTGTTTAACCATCAGGTCATACAGTTTATCTGTCCTTTGCTACATCTGGTCAAAACGCCCTGTCGAAGTTGCTCATTTCTCCTGGACACCCACAACCTGTCATTGCTTAGTAGGTAAACATCACATATAGGATAATTCTGAACATTTCTCCCCATAATTCAAACCAAAAACTGGCACCTTTAGCAAATGCCTATTTAATATTCCATGATGGTCTGCTATTTCTCATTCCCATCTATTGGAAGTGCATATCAATCACGTTCTGACTGGCTGATGGCTCCTGAAGTGGCTTCCTCCTCAGAAGGTGGCTCCCATTCCCACAGTTCCTCGGCATCCATTATATAGTCTTGTTGCCTGGTGTAATTGTGCAAAGCACAGCACACGAGGATGATGCAGCATGGTCTGTCCAGACTAAAGTCAACAGACCCCTTAACCCCACCCCAGAATGGTCCAAGTGGTGGAGCGGAATCTTCAGCAGCTCCATCGTCTGCTCCACCATGGCCCTGCTAAAAGCATTGAGCAGCATTGTATCTGTGCTCTACATCAGTCAGCAGGCTTGTGCAATGGTGTCATGAGCGATGGTCACAGCCGCGGCCCTTGTAAGCCTTGTAATGAGACACACCAGGTGCACAAGATTGTTCCAGGATGTAGGCGTCATGACAGCTGCCAGGGTAGCAGGCACACATCTTCAGGAAACGGTAATAGTGATCAGAGCTTGCACAGATGGCATTGCTCACCGTTTGGATGTATTTGTGGGTACACGACTGAGAGATGTAACACAGTTCTCCCATTGCTCTCTGCAAGGACCCAGTCGAAGTTCAAAGTGGCAGTCATTGGGAGAGGATGACCTCTCACTCCTGAAGCGCTGAGGGCCCTCTCCAGCTCGGTCACAGTGTCCTGGTTCTTCGGAGCCTTTGTTGGCACTGTGCTGCACTCATGCCCAGGAAATGGAGCAAGGTGGGTAAAAACCTGTGGTCTTCCACTGGATCCCATGCCCCCTGAGGGGCACTGCTGTGTGACCTTTCCCTGAGCTGGCTGCTGCTTAGCCTTCACATTGGCCTCTTGCTGCACCTTGGTTTGCCTTTTGCTGATAACTGACAGTGACCAAGACCCGGGACTTTGTGCAAACTGTGCCCATGACTGACAGTACCCCTGAAAGACAGTGGCTCCCCCCTGATTGGAGTGAGGACAAGCTCCCATGCAGTTTGCACATGGCCGTTTGGTTGAGTAAACGGGCAGGACAGTGGCTCAGTGGTTAGCACCGCTGCTGATGCTCTCCAGAGGGTCGGTGTTGATTTGATGGGCCGAATGACCTGCTTCCGCACTGTGGGGATTCGGATTCTATGATTTTATGATTCTAAACATACAGTGTGTATGGGAAGCAGGCAGCTGACTCATGCTGCTGTGTTAGATTGGTATTTTACATAGAAACATAGAAGATAGGAGCAGGAGGAGGCCATTCGGCCCTTCGAGCCTACTCCGCCATTCATCACGATCATGGCTGATTGTCCAACTCAATAGCCGAATCCTGCTTTCTCCCCATAACCTTTGATCCCATTCACTCCAAGTGCTAAACCTAGTCACCTCTTGAATGCATTCAACGTTTTAGTATCAACTACCTCCCGTGGTAGTGAATTCCACAGGCTCACCACTCTTTGGGTGAAGAAATATCTCCTCATCTCTGTCCTAAATCTTCTACACCGAATCCTCAGACTGTGACCCCTGGTTCTGGGCACACCCACCATTGGGAACATCCTCCCTGCATCTACCCTGTCCAGTCCTGTTAGAATTTTATAAGTCTCTCTGAGATCCCCCCTCATTCGTCTGAACTCTAGCGAAAACAATCCCAACCCAGTCAATCTCTCCTCATACATCAGACCCACCATCCCCGGAATCAGCCTGGTAAACCTTCGCTGCACTCCCTCAATAGCAAGAGCATCCTTCCTCCGAAAAGGAGACCAAAACTGCACACAATATTCCAGGTGTGGCCTCACCAAGGCCCTGTACAACTGCAACAACACATCCCTGCTCCGGTGCTCAAAACCGCTCGCAATGAAGGCCAACATACCATTTGCCTTCTTTACCTGCTGCACCTGCATGCTTACCTTCAGAGACTGGTGCACAAGGACACCCAGGCCCCGCTGCACACTCCCTTTTCTCAATTTACATCCATTCAGGTAGTAATCTGCCTTCTTGTTTTTGCTTCCAAAGTGAATAACCTCACATTTATCCAAATTATACTGCATCTGCCATTGATTTGCCCTCTCACCCACCCTGTCCAGATCATGCTGAAGGATCTCTGCATCCTCGTCACAGTTCACCCTCCCACCCAACTTGGTATCACCTGCAAACTTTGAGATGTTGTTACATTTTGTTCCTTCATCCATATCGTTAATATATGTAGTGAATAGCTGGGGTCCCAGCACCGATCCCTGTGGCACCCCACTAGTTTTGATGTGCCTTTCATGAAGAGAACACCTGAACTTGGATAGATCTCGGAGGGGAAGCGTGGCTTGAAGCCTGTCTGTGCATCTATACAAAACAGCTCATCAATATGGCAGTGCTGATAGCCTTTGGTGCTGGCTGAACCGGCAACACACTAACTGCCATGGCAGTGCAAGCCAAGGCAAGGAAGCTGTGAGTAAGCAGGTAGGCATTAAGTGGACAAGCGCTACTAGGGGAAGCAAACAGCCCTGAGATGCAGCCTGGTCCAATCTGTGCTTGTGTCCTTGCTGCAGCCTTTCAGTGCTGGCTGTTTTTTGGGATCTGCAATGCAGGACCGTGCTTCTTAAGTGTTTGGCAACTAGATCAGGGAGGTGTCATGAAG